TTTGATTTATATATGATAAAATGGTGAATGTGTTATTACTGTATTCTACAGGAATGTCTTTTTTTAACTCAGTTCATAGGTCAACTTAAGGACAGAGTTTTTTTTTCGAATGTGGTTTTGAAATTGTCAATTTGTGTCTGTATTTTCGCTAAAATAGAAATATTCGTCTACGTAGCGGACATATATTTTGGGTTTAGGGACTTGTTTAAATATCGCGTTTTCTATGTGGGATACGTAGTTGCTGGAGAAGCACGGACTGAGAGGATTTCCCATACCAACAACTTTGTTTTGGATGCAGATATATTGCCATTTTGGTCAGAGAATGGGGCTTTGATTGTACATACAGGCACTAACTTTTAGGGGATATTTGATTTGATGGATAGGGGTGGAATGGAGGAATTATTTGTATACACAGTGTTAAGGATTATATTTGATTGACGGTAACGTTTCTAATAGTTAATTAATTTCAGTAACTTGGAAAATGATCCTAGATTAATATATATATATATATATATATTTATATATATATATATATATATATATATGGGGGTGGATAAAATAAGAAAATTGGAAAATATATTTCTTAGCCATTGCTGACTTGTTTCGTCAATTCGACTTTATCAAGGCAAGTTTAAAAGCGAAATGTTTTTTTAGTTAAATTAAATTCAAAATTTAAAGTGAACGCTCAAGATGTCGTTAATTTTTTATTTATTTATTTTTTTACGAAGAATTTGTTTTAGTTTTTCATGCCGACATATTGTTGAATTTCTCAGAATAATTCCTAAGGTAAGACAATTTGGCTAAAAAGGCGAAAATGGGATACATACATACATATATATATATATATATATATATATATATATATATATATATACTAAAATTAAAAAAGGAAAAAATGGAATACATACATACATACATACATACATAAATATATATATATATATATATATATATATATATATTTACTAAAATTTGTTTTATTTTTTCATGTTGATATATATTTTGAATTTCTCAGAATATCTCTGGTTTGTAACAATTTGGACAAATATGGGTTAGAATAAGAAAAAAAATACAATAAAAAAATTAATTTAGAAAAGAATAAAAATATATATTATCCAATTTCGGGGAATTTTATATAAAATGTATATTAAATTATATTATATAATTATTCCTAGAAATTTAATTATATATATATATATATATATTATACAATATATATATATATATATATATATATATATATATATATATAATACTAATGGAAAAATAAAAAGATGAACAGAGAAATTTCGTCAGCTTTCGCTCGTATGATTACATTCGCCGACAACGCGCAGTTTCAGGATTAGAACCTTCTAGTTTCACCAGGACCGGTTCCCGTCATCTATTCCCTATCGCCGTTTGCCTTTGTAAGAGTTGATTCGAGGTGAAGCAAAATCAAAATGGAAGAAAGTGCCCTTACATACTCGACGGCACATATAGAGTTAGTAATCCAGTTATGAAAACTAAAACGGACTGCCAGTGACTCTGTTATAATTTCGACTGACGCCTTCTATAGCATGTCCGTCATGCGTAGCCCTCTCCATGCGCTGCTTCAGCCGTTGAGATCTGTTGTCATCGTCATCCGCTTGTTGTCATTGGGATTGCTTTCGCTTACTCTTGATCCCCGTCTTCGACCTCGTCGCCAAGGGTGGCCCAACAAGGAGTTATGAACTCCGAACATTGCTCTCAGACTCACTCGATCACGCATCTCTCACCCCGACAAGAAGCGAACATCCGTGGTACAGAACATTATATATTCAATATTTGGAATGGCATCATAATCATCGTGACCAGCTGACGATTCTTCTGCCATATCAAATATTGGCGCATATGAAACCTTTGGTAGCGTGAAAATGGTAGATGAGTACCCTAATATATATATTTTTCCATTTTTGAAACATGGTTATTACTGTGTAGCGAAAAAACATATTTTTAAATCAGTTAATTTATAATATGAATGCTCTGCAAATTTACATTGAGCACTATTTTGTAAAAAAAATAAAAATATCAGTAAGAACACCGGATTACATATCTTACTGTTCTTTCTTTTTATTTAAATATACATAATTTTATTTAAATATATATATATATATATATATATATATATATATATATATATATATATATAAATGAAATGGATGAGCCTACTCGAAGGAAATATTAACGTAAACAAATTACATTATATATAATGAAATGGACTAAGTCCGACAAATATTTTAATATATTTATTGTTTATGTATTATTTTTATAGATACAAATATTTAAGTAAAGGCTAAATTTCTAATTAACCACATTTACCTGCCTGAATATCCTAGAAATTTCATAGAAAATATGTGTCCTCCGACAGGAATCGAGCCAGTATCCTACACGGAAAGATCATATAGTCTGGCGTGGTATACTATATAGCTACAGGGGAAGCGTCCGGTTAGCAAGGTCGAATTACTACAAGTACAAACTTCGGACGCTTTCTCCCGAACGCTCATATATGCTCGAAGCATATCAACGTAAGCAAATGACACCATATATTATGAAATGCACTAAGTACGACAATTATTTTAATATATTTATTGTTTATACTTTATGCTTATAGATATAAATATTAAAGTAAACGCTCTGTTTACAATAAACAGTATTAACCACATTTACCGGCCTGAATGTCCGAGAAATTTCATGAAATACACGTGTCCTCCGACAGAACCCGAACCTCTATCCGACATGGAATCGTCATATTGCCTGATGTGCTAAACTATTTAGCTACAGAGGGAGTGTCTGGTTGGGAAGGTCGTATAATTCGTATATATATATATATATATATATATATATATTATAATATTATCATATAGACAAAACCATTTTACCCACTACAAAGATGCAACTTGGTTTCAGTGCATTTCAACTGCACTTCGACGTTTGAGAATCGAAAATGTTTATGAACAATCCTGCTTGTGTAAGGCCAGCCGTATGTGAAACGTCACTTATTTTTTTTCCGTTTGTTTGATAAGTAAAATATACATAAAAAATGGATATATATATATATATATATATATATATATATATATATATATATATATATATATATATATATATATATATATATATATATATATATATATATATATATATATATATATATATATATATATATATATATATATATATATATATATATATATATATATATATATATATATATATATTTTCAAACTCTTAGCAATCTCTTCCATCGAAATGTATCTGTTTATTCTCCACGATGACAAAGCAGAGCGTCTTCCTCGGCGTCAGAATGTCTCCCGGAGCGTTGTTGATCGTTTCACTTAAAACTTTTGATTGTTTCGTTTGTTTTGTGGCGTGGGGGTGTATGTGAAGGTGGTAAAGATATAGGTTTGTGGTATGCTATATTTATGGGGGAAGTGCTCTCTATCAGGGATACAGTGTGTGTTAATAAAATAGTGAACACATAGGTCAATACCGCGTAACGACATGCTTGAACACATGGCCTGAAGATGGCTTTCACACATTAAACAGAGTATGCGCCATAAGTCAGAAATACTTCCAAATATTTTTTAGAATCCTTAAAACGTACTTTTCTTTAGCCAAAATTATATATATATAAAAGGAAAGGTGACGAGTCATTGACGACCCTTACTTGAGAAATGGCGTAGTTTCTATCATATATATTTAAAAGGTCCGCAGTTTGTTCATGTCTGTCAACCTATCAATTCAAATCACGTTCTGTCTCTGCTTCATTTCAGTCATCTATCTATCTATCTATCTAGCTAGCTATCTTATATATATATATATATATATATATATATATATATATATATATATATATATATATATATATATATATATTATGTATATATACAGATATATGCATATATATATATATATATATATATATATATATATATATATATATATATACACACATATATATACATGCGTTTCCGTGTGTGTGAGTGTGTATCGCATATATATATATATGCATATAAATGTATATGTACACACACACACACATATATATATCCAAATATATAAGTTTGTTCATATTTATCAATCAGTGTCTGTCTCTCTACTTCATTTCATTCATATCTATCTATCTATCTCTCTCTCTCTCTCTCTCTCTATATATATATATATATATATATATATATATATATATATATATATATATATTAACGAATTCAAATCAGGATATATATGCTTTTAGCCTGTCTATCTATCTATCTATCTATCTATCTATCTATCTATATATATATATATATATATATATATATATTAACGAATTCAAATCAGGATAAATATGCTTTTTTGTCTCTATCTATCTATCTATCTATCTATATATATATATATATATATATATATATATATATATATATATATATATATATATATATTAACAAATTCAAATCAAGATAAATATTCTTTTTAGCCTGTCTATCTATCTATCTATATATATCTATATCTATATCTATCTATCTATATATTCTATATATATATTAACGAATTCAAATCAGGATAAATATGCTTTTAGCCTGTCTCTCTAATCTAAAGTTCTTATTGATTAAAATGCTCCGTTATCGAGGCAAAATTGAGGCAACCTTTAGCTATCAATATAATATGCCCTAGAAGAGGTTTCAGAATTAGATCTATGAGTGGGTGACATGCTGGGGTTAGCGTTTAGCTTTCACTTAAATTTATGATCGATCCAATTAGAGAGAGCTACAATGGAACAGAGCCGATGTTTGCAATGGCTGGTAGCATGCAGAGTCAGATCGACGATGAATTTGCAAATTTTATAAAGCTGGCAATGATTGGACTGAAATCTTGTCAAGATCGAATCAATGGCGGATCCATCCGCCATTTCGGAAGCGTTCATTATTTTCCCGTAAAGAAGAAAAACTGAACACAACACAATATAGCTACTTAATATAAATTAAAGTTATTATGCTACATACGTTCATCAAATTTGATAGATAGATAGATAGATAGATAGATAGATAGATAGATAGATAGATAGAAAAAACTGAGATATATACACACGTACATATATATAATGAATAGATAGATCGGAAAAACTGAGATAGATACACACACACACACACATATATAATGAATAGATAGATAGATAGGTAGATAGATATGAACTTATATAGATAGATATTAAAAACTGAGATAGATAGATAGATAGATAGATACACATATACACACACACACACATATATATACATATATATAAAATGAGTAGATAGATAGATGTTAAACTTACATACCTAGATAGCTAGATATGAAATGAAGCAGAGAGACAATGATAGATATGAAAAAAATTATATAGATAGATAGATATGAATGTAATGAGGCAGAGACACAGTGATAGATAGATATAAACAAATTAGATAGATAGATAGATAGATAGATAGATATGAAATGAAATGAAGCATAGAGACAGTGATAGATATGAACAAACTTAGATAGATAGATAGATAGATAGATAGATAGACGAACAGACATAGATAGATAGATAGATAGATAGATAGATAGATAGATAGATAGATATGAACAGACTGAGATAGATAGATAGATAGATAGATAGATAGATAGATAGATAGATAGATACGAACAGACATAGATAGATAGATAGATAATGAACAGATTGAAATAGATAGATAGATATGAAATGAAATGAAGCATAGAGACAGTGATAGATATGAACAAACTTAGATAGGTAGATAGATAGATAGATAGATAGATAGATAGATATGAATAAACTGAGATAGATGTTAATAGACTGTGATAGATAGATAGATAGATAGATAGATAGATAGATAGATAGATAGATGCAAAAGTGAAAGTTTCCAAAGTAGAATAAAATCTACCTGTGACTTCTTCAAGACGTTATTCTCTTCCTCTTTTTCTTTCTCGATTTTTCTCTGACGGTCTTGACTCATTTACTTTTTTCCATGTTTTATTTCTAATTCTTTGTTATCTATTTGCTTTATTTTTTGCCGTATTCAGTGACTTTTCAACATTTACTTTGATTTCATTTTATTTTCCGTCGATGCTGTCTGAGTGACTCATTTATTTTTTTTTTTTCATCACAATTTTATCTATTTTTTTTCTTTTATCAAAATGTAAAATGCGTTTGGTGTCCTGACGATTTTTCCCACTGAACACCACGTCGTGTTTCCTCATCTGTTCTTTTGATTGACAGGTTTGCGCATGCGCCAGCAATTATGGCCGGCCTTTCTCACGCCGGCTACAAACTTAGATAGATAGATAGATAGATAGATAGATATGAATAAACTGAGATAGATGTTAATAGACTGTGATAGATAGATAGATAGATAGATAGATAGATAGATAGATAGATAGATAGATAGATGCAAAAGTGAAAGTTTCCAAAGTAGAATAAAATCTACCTGTGACTTCTTCAAGACGTTATTCTCTTCCTCTTTTTCTTTCTCGATTTTTCTCTGACGGTCTTGACTCATTTACTTTTTTCCATGTTTTATTTCTAATTCTTTGTTATCTATTTGCTTTATTTTTTGCCGTATTCAGTGACTTTTCAACATTTACTTTGATTTCATTTTATTTTCCGTCGATGCTGTCTGAGTGACTCATTTATTTTATTTTTTTTTTTCATCACAATTTTATCTTTTTATTTTCTTTTATCAAAATGTAAAATGCGTTTGGTGTCCTGACGATTTTTCCCACTGAACACCACGTCGTGTTTCCTCATCTGTTCTTTTGATTGACAGGTTTGCGCATGCGCCAGCAATTATAATAGGCCTTTCTCATTTTTTACAAACTTAAATAGATAGATAGATAGATAGATAGATAGATAGATAGATAGATAGATAGATAGATAGATAGATATGAAAAGAAGCATAGAGACAGTGATAGATAGATATGAACAAACTTAGATAGATAGATAGATAGATAGATAGATAGATAGATAGATACGAAATGAAGCATATAGACAATGATAGATAGATATGAACAAACTTTGAAGCATAGAGACAGATAGATAGATAGATAGATAGATAGATAGATAGATAGATAGATAGATAGATAGATAGATAGATAGATATGAAATGAAGCATATAGACAATGATAGATAGATATGAACAAACTTTGATAGATAGATAGATAGATAGAAAGATAGATAGATAGATATGAAGCATAGAGACGGTGATAGATATGGACAAAAATAGATAGATAGATAGATAGATAGATGGATAGATAGATGGATAGATAGATAGATAGATAGATAGATAGATATGAAATGAAATGAGGCATAGAGACAGTAATAGATAGATACGAACAAAGATAGATAGATATGAAAACCTGAATTCCGATTTTTCTTTAAATAGCTTTCAAAATACATATTTTGCCAGTAGCCTATAAATGGACCGTTGCTTTCTGCCAAAATTCTTTTCCACGACTTCTGCTGTCTGTCCATTCTGTAACCAATGAATATTTCGTTTTCGTTTTCTCTTGACATGAAAAAGCCATTTTTCAGTTTATCCTCATACCCAGGGCGTATTTTTGATGGCAGTTTCCTTCCTAACTTTTTGTTTGATGTCACGTGGAATGTCAGCATCTTGATTATGTCATTATTCTTTTCTTTGAGTCACGTTTTAGTTGTTGCTGCTGTTTCCATTATCCGTCACAGCTCTTTGTTTGCAGTTCTGTAAAAACCAGTTCAGAATTTTCTCTTTGCCGAGACGCTGCATTGGTCCGCCTGTGATTACGCAACTATTTTTCTCTGTTAATTATATGAGCTAGCCATTTTTGCTGTCACCGGTGTTGGAAGTCCTCGAGTAATGTCATTTCTGTTATTTGGTACAGTTCTTTGTTTGGGATTATATAGCACCAGTCCACGAGGTTCGAAGTGTGGTCATCGCAAGCACCCACAGGTTTCATTCGCTCAGCGCCATTTTAGCCAATGATCCGAGAAGGGGGTCATATACCTCTGACAGTTTAGTTATTGTTTTAACAGTTTTCACGACACGAATGACATCCATATAAGAGAATAAAATGGTTGTACATTTCACATAAATAATCACCTTGAAATTAGATAGCCAAGGTTTTTGGTTTTTTTTTTTTTTTTTAAATCATTTCACCCCAAGCAAGGCGGGAGTAGCACTAATACACATCGGGATGGTTTACAGAGAGTGAAACTGAGGAAAAAGGCAGAGTAACGGGAGATTAAGGAAAGGATATAAGATAAACGGGATTCAAGTAGACAGAAGATGGCGATTGACGTTGCATTTAAATTTTTAAAGATTGTATTTATCAGGGAAGCAAGGTAGTTCCATCTGGGCTTACAGGGAGTTAAAGATTGAGAATGAGGAGGATTTAGGAAAGGATAAAAAAGGAACAGGCTTCAAGTAGGTAGAAGATGTGGATTGACGTTACATTTAAATTGTTAAAGATTCTAGTTATCAGGGAAGCAAGTAAACGGAAGAGGGTTCCACAGGCGAGAAGTGCGAGAAAAGAAGCTGTTGGAGTAGAAGTGGCGGTTGCGTTTAGCTATTGCAACAATAAAAGGATGGGATCTAGATGCCAGTCTAGTAGCACGCTTAAATACATGGTGCCAGGGCAGCAAGGAAAAAAAGCTCAGTTGCGATGAAAATATTTGTAGAAAAGACAGAGGGAAGCCACGTGACGTCGGTGAGAAAGTGACTGAAGTCGAGATGCCAAGTCAGGTTCGATTACATCACATATTCTTCTTTGGATTTTGTCGAAACCTTCGAGATGAATAGCAAGGGCACCAGACCATAGCGAATCTAATGCTAACCTCATCAATCCCCGGAGGTAGCAGCGATACATTTCTTCGAACTATATATTTTCGATTAGATTCCTCAGTCTTGGCAGGAATGACAATTAATAACGTCCAGTGGGTAACAATTGTCGACTAACATCCTTGTGACAAGCTGAATCTCCGGTTATCGTTTCCGTACGATCAGCGAAGTTAAGCAACGTCGAGTCAGGTCAGTATCTAGATAGGCGACATCTTGGGAATATCAGGCGCTGTAAGTTTGGATTATCAGGGAAGCAAGTAAACGGCAGCTCCACTGGCAAGAAGTATTAGAAAAGAAACGAAAAGAAAGAATAGAAGTGGCGGTTGCATTTAGTCGTTTCAACAGTAAATGGCTGGGACCTAAGTGCCAATCTAGTAGCGCGCTTAAATTCATGTAACCGAGGCATTAGCGGAAAATCCTCAGAGCAATTGCCATGAAGATATGAGAAAAAGACTGAAGTCGATATGCTAAATCAGAATCGAATTCATTACAGAACGTTCTTTAGATTTTGTCAAGAACCTCAAGATGAATAGCAAGAGCACCAGACCAGATATGGCGGCAAAGGAACGCGATATCAATGCTCAGAATGTTATCGGAAAGAACAATGCAGAAGGACGTGCACCTATGTTTCATAGACTACGCAAAGGCCTTCGACAAAATATATCACAAGGATCTGATGGAACTGCTCAGCAACCTTGATATATTTGGGAAAAGATAGAGCAGAACAATAAAGAACGTATATTGGCGGCAATCTTTGCTATAGGCTTTAGGAATACACTTGATGTGTCGTTAAAGGTGAAAATTTATGCATGTCTATCTCCATGATTTTTACCTTGAATATTGTCGTATTTACACCCTTTTCTATCACTTGTTATGATATATTTTAAGAACGGTGAGTAAGGATGATGTATATATATATATATATATATATATATATATATATATGTGTGTGTGCATATAAAAGTGTATATAAATATAAATAAATATATATATGTATAATTATTTATATATTCTATGCGCGATACTTATTAATATTTGTTGGATATAGAGTTTGTGCCTCTGGGAAGGGGACATTTAACGATCGAAATCAGAATTTGTTTGACGATCTCTAAAGGAAATTCAAGGGGAAAACTCTGATCAATATATATATATATATATATATATATATATATATATATATATATATATATATAAAAAAAATTCATTAAAGAAAGTCTGCCTAGCATTGCGTATTAAATGAACATTTTCAGCAGAAAAGGCCATCAAATATATATATTTGAAACATCAAAAAAATCAACTGCGTACAAATATTATATTCTTTTCAAAATATGCTGCTGCTTCTCTCAATGGTGGCATTTAAACCTGCAACTGTAGCTTTGTCGCAGTTTAGTTGAACAATATTTCCGTCACTTGTTCGGATATATTTATGCTCAGAATGTTACCAGAAAGAGCAATACAAATGCAATATTTTATATTTAATTTTATAGACTACGCAAAGCGTTTCGACAAAGTACGCCAAAAAGTGATTAGAACTGTCACAATATTTATATAATGGGGAAAAGATATTTGAATTTTAATCAAAGAAAACTTATTTTATAAACAAATAATCTTTGTTCTAAATATTTGTTGAATACTATTGGTGTGTCGTTAAATTTTGAAAATTTATGCAAATCTATTCCTGCATTTCAACCATAAAACATTCCAACATTAAACACCATTTTCCATCACTTGTTATGATATATTTTAGGAACGGTAAGGATATATATATATATATATATATATATATATATATATATATATATATATATATATATATATGCAATTACATTTGGTCAACGTAACATACAATCATCAAATAGCTGAATAGAAACATTGAAATAAAGTAGGTTCATATTGTGTGTGTATTGTTAAAAATCTATGCTTTTATTTCATTTGAATGTATACCCTTTAAAAATTTTGCTAAATGTGCCGTGATATTTTCATTGGCTCCTAGGTGTGCCGCTGATTAAAAGGTTTGCTTTTCTGCTCTAACGAAACATCTTATTTAATTAGCATCTTTCCTATGCTAATTTGCAATTTTCTAAAACTACAATTTCGAATAATGTAAAAGATTAAAACGTAAAGACATATAAAAACAGATTAAAAAAATAGGGTATATGATAGTGAATAATAATGTCGACGCAATATATACGTCTTATAAATTACTAGCAGTAGAGCCCGGCGTTGCCCGGGGATGTAACAGTAAGAGATAGATCAAGTATCGACCATCATAAAGACTGAAAAATAAAATTGACAAAAATTATTGTTTAAGGTTGACGGACACACATGTCTTAATTAGTTTTTTTTTTTTTTTTTTTTTTACGAATTGGTCAAACCCAAACTCAAACAAAAACATTGTTTTCAATCGTTATGAGTCTACCGATTGAATAAATTTTATTATAAACAATTGTCTTGTAAATGACTATTTTTAAAGCATTCTGAATGTAAAAATAAAAAAAAATGCAAGACACAAGAAACACTACCTGCCAAAAAAAAATGTGAAGTTTTATTTGAAATCAGTTGAAAAATGTAAAAATCCGGAAAATATATAAAAACCACACACACACACACACACACACACACACACACACACACACACAACAAACAACCTGGGTTTTATAATAAGTATAACTCGATATGAGTTG